CCTTCTTGTGACAGGAAATATACTGTCCCTCATAATGTAAGTGGTCAGTAAGTATTTGATGAATGAATGGATGGATGGAGTGTGGCAATGAGTTCATTACATCCAACTCTACTAGAGAATTTATCCTCCTGTCTAATTCAGAGCTGCCTCCCTGTACTTCCTAGTTTCATTCTCTTTGAAATAGTTTTTAAAAATTATGACCTATTTCACAAACAACACGAACATACAAAGGACAATAAAATACTTGTCCATGTACATAATATCTAAATTTTTTTTTAAGATTCATTTACTTATTTTAGACAGAGAAAGGGAGAGCGTGAGTGGGGGAAGGGGTAGAGAGAGTGGGGGAAGGTGCAGACTCCCCACTGAGTGCAGAGCCCCATCTCACCACCCATGAGATCATGACCTGAGTCGAAACCAAAAGTTGGAAGCTTAACTGACTGAGCCATCCAGGCGCGCCCCCCCTCATATCTCAATTTTAACAAACACTATTTTCACTCTATTTGTGTCAGATTAAAAAACAAATATAATTGCAACCCTCTTAGCAGCCTACCCAGATCCCAGTCTCCTGGCTTAATTACTATTAAGTATCTTTCCCAAAGTTACACGGTTAGGAAATAGCAGAGCTGGGATTTGAACCTAGATCTCTTTAGTTCAAAAGCTATTGCTCTTTCCATAACGTCATGCTATCCCACCTGGATAAATATGCATAATAGTGATAATATTTAGTGCCTATTTATAAATGGATAAAGTGTCCAGGATTACTGAAAACACTACTCCTGCTCCTCTGTTTACCGTATTAAGTTACTTAAGAATAATTTTATTTTCATGAAATGTAGATATGAATTATCATAGATATCGAGTTAACAGAGTTTAAGTTGCAGAAGTATTATATTTGAAAAGAATGTCAATGAAGGGCGCCTGGGTGGCTCAGTCGTTAAGCGTCTGCCTTCGGCTCAGGTCATGATCCTGGGGTCCTGGGATCGAGTCCCGCATCGGGCTCCCTGCTCGGCAGGAAGCCTGCTTCTCCCTCTCCCACTCCCCCTGCTTGTGTTCCTGCTCTCGCTATCTCTCTCTCTCTGTCAAATAAATAAATAAAAATCTTAAAAAAAAAAAAAGAATGTCAATGAAGATAATTAATCATTTTTGGTGGAGTGGACCTTTATTTTTAGGAGAGAGATTGGTGAGACATTAATATGTTTTCAACCATTTCCATTATGAGAGCAATCTGGGGGGTCTGAGTATGATTAAGCAAATGTGAAGCTGAGTTTTTTTAAAGGCCGACCTGCCAGTTGGTTATGTTAAAGGGGCATGACATACAACAACTGGCTTGTAATCCTCCTACTATTGTTAGCATTGATTGAGTCCTTATCAAAGTCTTATTTCCAGTGTGAACTAACACATTAAGAAGCGATGGGAAGAAGAGATTAAAAAAAGAACAGGGGGAGAGCCATTAATGTTTGAAAAAAGTATTTTGAGAGAAGAGTAAAGATTTTCGATGTTCTATGTAACAAAGGGAGAACAAAGACAGACGTGCTGTCGCTTGCTCAAGAACCTGCAGTGTCTCTTTATTTTCCCAGCAATGCAGAGTTTATAAAAACATACAGACCTGGGACCTGCCCGCAAGAGGCTGGATAGAGTAGGTCTAGTGCGCAGCTCAGGTATGTGCACTTCTGTTTGTTAAAGCTACGAGAGGCGAACAAGTAAAACAAAACAGAAACAACAAACCAAACAACCAGTCTTCCTAGTAAGCAGCTCCTGGCCCTCCTCCGTTGCCCTTTTCTTCACTGGTGCAAATCGAGAGCCAGTATCTGCCTGGAGGAACAAATTCAGGCTCCTCACCCTGACTTAAACGGGGGTGCCTGAATGTGTCGGTAAGAGTCCTGGGATCGAGCCCTGCATGAAGCCCCACATCGAGCCCCACATCAGGCTCCCTGCTTGGTGGGGAGCCTGCTTCTCCTCCCTCTGCCTGCTGCTCCCCCTGCTTGTGCTCTCTCTCTCTGTCAAATAAATATATAAAATCTTAAAAAAAAAAAAAAAAGATCTTTCAAAAATGGTTGTGTACTGAGCGCCTGGGTGGCTCAGTTGGTTAAGCGACTGCCTTCGGCTCAGGTCATGATCCTGGAGTCCCGGGATCGAGCCCCACATCGGGCTCCCTGCTCAGTGGGGGGTCTGCTTCTCCCTCTGACCCTCTTCCCTCTCTTGCTATCTGTCTCTCATTCTCTCTCTCTCAAATAAATAAATAAAATCTTTAAAAAAAAATGGTTGTGTACTTCCCATCCTCTGTCTCCCCATTATGTGACATTATGGGCTCTTTGTTTTAGTCTAGTTGGCCCTCTGCACTTTTGCTTCTGTTCTACCTGCCTGGATTGCCCTGTGTTCTCCCCGGAGCCTAGCCAAACCTGATTCATCCTTTCAGTAGAGCTAAAACGCCAGTTCTCTGTGGAACCTTCTCTGATAGTCTCTCTTTCCTATTTTCTATAGTTTTACTATTTGTACAGTTCATATTGTCCTTTGGTAGTAATGTGTCATTCCCCATTTGCTCAGAACTCTTGTTCAAAGTTCAGATTCTGTCTTGTATGTTGAAGTTAGTTTGTTAGAAAAGTTTATTTTAATTACAAAAATAACATTTTAGGGGTACCTGGGTGGCTGAGGCAGTTAAGTGTCTGCCTTCAGCTCAGGTCATGATCTCAGGGTCCTGGGAATGGAGCCCTTGAGTCAGGCTCCCTGCTCAGCAGGGAGCCTGCTTCTCCCTCTGCCTCTGCCTTCCACTCTGCCTACTTGTGCTCTCTATCTCTGTTAGATAAATACACAAATAAATCTTTTAAAAAAATAACATTTTATAAGGAAGGATGCTTTTAGATAAATTCCTTATCCTGAAACACCTGTGTAATCTTGTATACAGATTGAGTTCCATTAGAATTAAATCCAGAGAGGACCCTGGGTGGCTCAGTAGGTTAAGCATCTGGTTTCAGCTCAGGTCATGATTTCAGGATGGTGAGAGTGAGCCTGGGTTGCGGGGGTGGGGAGGGTGGGGGAGTGGGGGGGCGCCCTCTTTCTCTCTCACTCAAATAAATAAATAAAATCTTTAAAAAAGAAAAAGAATTAAATCCAGAGAGGTCAAAGTCAGTGGATTAATTATTCATCAATTCTTTTTTTAAAGATTTTATTTATTTATTTATTTATTTTAGAGAGGGAGAGAGCACAAGCAGAGGGAGGGAGAAGGGCAAGCATACTCCACACTGAGTGCAAAGCTCAATCCCACATCTCTGAGATCAGGACCTGAGCCAAAATCAAGAGTCGGACACAACCAACTGAGCCACCCAGGTGCCCTTATTCATCATTTCTTTTGTTCAACAAATATTTATTGAGCACCTATTGTATCCCAAGCTCCATTCTTGGTACTAGTGATATAGCAGTGAACAAAATAGGAAAAAATCCTGCCTTTCTTATGGGGTTCACATGCTAGTGGGCAGAGACAGATAAGAAACAAAATAAACAAGGAAATATAATATTTTAAATAATGAAAGTGTATGGATTAAAAAAAAAACAATGAAGGGATTACTGGGGTGAGGTCTAGGGAGAGTTACACTTTTAAATAAGGTGGTCTCTTCCTTGAGGAAGTGACATCTGATCAAAGACCTAATGAAGGTGAGGAAGAGAATCTGCAGATATCTAGAGAAGGAGCATACCATACAGAAGGATCAACAAGCCCCAAGACCCTGAGGAGGGAAGGAGCTGGCTGTTTTTGAGAAGGAGCAAAGGGAGGGGTGCCTGGGTGGCTCAGTCGTTAAGCGTCTGCCTTCGGCTCAGGTCATGATCCCAGGATCCTGGGATCGAGCCCCGCATCGGGCTCCCTGCTCAGCGGGAAGCCTGCTTCTCCCTCTCCCATTCCTCCTGCTCGTGTTCCCTCTCTTGCTGTCTCTCTCTCTGTGTCAAATAAATAAAATCTTAAAAAAAAAGAGAAGGAGCAAAGGGAAACATATGGCTGGAGCAAAGTGTGTAGGGAGAGAGTAGTAGGAAAAATGGAAAAGACAGGATGAGGAGCTGGGTTCTGGATTAGGGCCTTGGGCCTTAATGGGCTAATGAAATGACTTAGCATTTCACTCTAAACTTGATGGAAAACCAGTGGGGGTTTCCAGCAGAGGAGTAATCTGACCTATTTTAAAGGGTCCCTGTGGCTTCCGTGCTAAGAATACACTATAGGGGAGCAAGGGTGGGAGCAGGGAGACCAGTTATCGGGGCTAGTCCAGTAATTTAGGGGAGCATTCAGTCATAGCATCTTGGGCCAGAGTGGCCAAGATACCAGTGCAGTGGTAGTAGATGGATTCTCTCTTTATAGAAAGTAGAAATAAGGGGCGCCTGGGTAGCTCAGTTGGTTAAGTGACTGCTTTCAGCTCAGGTCATGATCCTAGAGTCCCAGGATCGAATCCCGCATTGGGTTCCCTGCTCAGTGGGCAGTCTGCTTCTGCCTCTGACCCTCCCCCCTCTCATGTGCTCTCTCTCTCTCTTTCTGTCTCTCTCAAATAAATAAATAAAATCTTTAAAAAAAAAGAAGAAAATAGAAATAGTAAGATTTACAGACAGATGAGATGATGTGTGTGAGAAAGAAGAGACAAGAATAACTCAGAAGATTTTGGCCCAAACAACTGCAAATACTGAGTTGTTATCAATTGAAATGGGATCCACTGGGGAAGGAACATGTGTGCTGGGAAAACTCAGGAGTTCAGTTTCAGATGCCACAAGTATGACAGGTCTATATTCAAGCGGACATTTCTACTAGGAAGTTAGATACATATTGGAGTTCAAGATAAAGGGCTAGATAGGCATATAAACCTAGAAATTTTCCTACAGTAACCATCCTAGCAAATGTAGTCTCTTTGGAGCTATTAAAACAAACTTTTCTATATTATTGGAAAATTGTGAGAATAATATAAGCAAGCTAGCCCCTATCTAACAAGCCAGATCAGCAAAAAGTGAAATATATAAGGAATACTTACCTACTCATTGATTCCACAGATATTTAGGGATCGCTTCCTCCATGCTATGCAGTGAGTGTGCCAAGACACCAAATACGCCTTGTCAGCCCTCAGAACACTCCAGTGTGGGGGAGGTGATTGTAAGCCAGCTGTGACTCCACAGGGCGATGCATGTCACTGGGGAGGGCTTCCTGGCTGTTGTGGGAGCTGAAGGAAGAGAGAAAGATGTGTGAGTCATTGACCCTTTCCTTGGGCAGCTCGCAGACTAGTTGGAGAGACATAAACACAGGAAAAGTTAAATAGCTCTAAGGTGTAAATAACCCCTCCAGACAACAGACAAGCAATGCCATGAGGCACCCGATGAACGCTTGCTGAATGTTGATATTTGTCTGAGGAGTTCAAAAGAGGGAGACATCTTTCTGGGCTGGGGTAGCAGAGAAGGCTTTGTTTGGGTGGGACTGGAACTAGGACTTGAAAAAAGAGGGGGTGTTTCTTGAGGGGATGTGATAGCGTTTTCCTTTATTCTGAGAGTGATGAGATGCCTGTGAAGGGTTTTAAGTAAGGGAGATGTCAGGATAAGATTTGAGTTTTGAAAACATTACTCTGCCTATAATATGGAGGACAGATGGCTGGAGCGAAGTCTGGCAGACATGACAGACTGTCGCAAAAGTCTTTGCTATGAGGTTTGCCTTGAGAATGGAACATTCAAGTTGAGCTGTCTAGCAAAAAGCTGGGTATGTCAGGTTAGCTCTTGGCGGAGAGGGCTCAGGTGAAGGTTTGGGGGTTGTTTGGGAGGCCACAGTGATAGCCCTAAAAGTGGATAAAATCTCGAGGGAGAAAGTATGGAGAGAAAAACATCAGAAGGGGGAAGAACTAACCATTGTTTAAGCACTTACCTTAAGGAGCTGGCAAGAAAACCCAAAAAAAGGGCCAGAGAGATAGAAAAGCAAGGTATCACTGGGCATAAGACGAATCAGGCATTTATGTACAGAAAGAAATATCTAGGTTGGGTAAGAATCCCTGCATTCATATGCAGTTTTACTTTCCATGAACTTTTATTAAGCTATCTTTTGTGATAAAAGAATCTAAGTAGACATTGAAATCATGATTAAACACTAATCTGGAATCTGGCAGCTTGGTTCCCCTTGTGCAAAATGGTAGTAGGTAGATAATAAGTAGATAACAAGTAGGTTATTTCCTCTAGGAGCTTAGACCAGAAAAGGGCCTTAAAAATCACTTACTTTCCAACCACCTCATTTTATAAATGAGGACACTTAGGCCTCTGGAGAAATGCATTTCCAAGGTCATACAGCTATTTAGTAACAAATACAAGCTATTTTCAGACCAGAAAAGGATCTTCTGAGTTTTTATTTAGACTTTCCTCTTCCTCGCTCTCTCTAAGCCTAAACGACACTCTTTAATTCCAAGAGCACAGATTTAATGAAAAGAGCTAAATGAATTTTAAATGTGTACATTTTTTTAGAAACAAGGAATATTTTGTCTTAAGTTACAGTTGATGGTAAGAAATGTGTTGCCTACGTACAATCCAAATCTGTTTGAGAGAATGCTCAGTTCTAATTATGACCTCCTAAGGCCACTTTATTCACTCAAACGTTTTCTCTCTTTCACAGGGCAGTGCAAGTCTTAGTGAGGCTTTTTTCTCATCTTTCCAGGAAGAATGAATCACTCTTTCTCCTGGGTTCCCATACAGGCAGTGTTTTTTTTAACTTCAGTATGAAACGTCTTAGTGGGTCATGAAATCAATTCAGTGGGTCACTCCCAGGAAGAAAAATAGAATGGAAAAACACCAAAAGTCCATCATAGTGATGGTAACATTACTTTGTGAAACTTTTATTTCAGTTATGTCTCTGTGTGTGTGTGTGTGTGTGTGTACCAGACTGCTGTATAAAATGTAAAAAGTTTGAGTAACACAAGCTTGGAGGATTCTAGTGGAAAACACATCCCTACGTCTGTATAGCCACCCAGCTCTTTTGAGAGTTGGGACTATCTTCATCTTTGCATCTGTCATGCCCAACATACTACCCGGTGGATACACAGGAGATGTTGGTTAGAATTATTATGAAGAATTAAGATAGAAGATTGAAGAACAGGTAGGTTAGGGAAGAAGTGAGTACTTGATTTAAGTAAAGGTCTAGTTTCCTTTTACTTTAGATGTTAATATTAATGTTTTTTCAACCTGGTATTACTGGAACTAAGAACCTGTGTTTCATATCTGTGTTGTGGGATGGTCTCCTAGTCACCTTCAGTGTTCCTTGTGATGTGGTATAAATAATACTTCCTGCTGATGTTGCAGCTGTCATTCAAGGATCTTAAATTGCTTTGCGAGCAGGATCTGGTGATGAGTGCCTGGCTCCACTTGGCAGGTGCCAGAGTTAAGAACCAGTGACTGGATGAAATCTCTGGGCTCCAGACTGACGCGCCCCCCCCCCCCCCCCTCAGCCCTCTCTTTCCCTCATTCCTTGGAGGAAGGAGCCTTTGACCCTGCCTCTTTGTGAGCTTGTCTAGCTGGTAATAGCTCGCAAAGATTTCCACGGAACTAGATTTACTCTTTCTTTGGGGATGGCTCTGGTGTGTATGGGGGTGGGAGGCACATGGTGGTAAAGACTATTTATTTAACTACTTCTGGACTTGAAAAGTCCAGGGAGCAAAACTGGGAAGGAACTGATTAGAGGTGAGTTCTGGATCATCAAAGGAAATTGGAGAGCCCTCCTGTTAATAGGTCTTTAAGATCTGCACCTGACAGAAAGGGGGTATTTGACATGTGCTCTTTCCTATAGCAACCTATTTCTTGCTCCTGGCCACACTCCTTTGGTTTGTTTTTTGTTTGTTTGCTTATTTATTTATTTTTTTTTAAGTAAACTCTATCCCCAGCCTGGGGCTGGAACTCAGGATCCTGAGACCAAGAGTGGCAAGCTCTACCGACTGAGCCAGCCAGGCGCCTCCTCCCCTTTGGGTTTTATTGTGCAAATTGGCCACCAGAGACTTAAGTGCCCACTCACACATACAGCCCTTCATTTTCTTCTCTTTTGTGCAAGCCCACCAGCACCTTGAAGTAGTCCTGTTCCCCATTTCCTGGAAGCTTCTGGGGGGCCAGTTCTCTCTCTTTTCCAAGAAACTGTTAACTGCCTACAGTTGGGCCTGCGAGGCTTGGGGAGGGTGACAGCTCGGTCCCGGCTTGGAGTCGGGTTACACCACTTGTGTCTGAGTTCACGCAGCATGTTCCTCTGTCAGGAATTCCGCAAATATCTCCCAGAGGTAAAAAAGGAAAGTGCGCTGCGCTCCAACACCCAGAGCAGTGAGCCCAGTCCCAGGTCCCCGAGAGAGCGCCAGCCACCGGGGTCATGTCGCCATAGCCTCAGCAGCGTCCCAGCGGCTCGCTTCATGCCACGGTGCAGCCGCACTATGTTCCTAGGGTGAGGGGGCGACTGGGCATGCTGCTCCCCATGGGTTGCCCACCATGTCTAATGGATATCGCACTCTGTCCCAGCATCTCAATGACCTGAAGAAGGAGAACTTCAGCCTCAAGCTGCGCATCTACTTCCTGGAGGAGCGCATGCAGCAGAAGTATGAGGCCAGCCGGGATGACATCTACAAGCGGGTGAGTGCAGGAGCCCTGCGCTCCAGCCCCGAGCAGGGGGCTCGTGGCCCACCCACTGATATCCAGGCTCTTCCTACCTCCGGCGGTGCTAACTAGGGAGGGAGGCGTGTTCCACACCAGGTCTGGCCACCTGAATGCGGGGGTGACCTTGGACCAGCTCATTTCACCTCTTTTGTGCCTGTTTTGTACTTTCCTTTTGTGTAAAGAGACTGAGCTGGATTAAATCAGAGTTTGCTCTGCCGTGGAACTGTTCAGAACAGTCACCTTTGGGAGCAGGTTTACAATGTAGATTCCCTGACTTACCCGCGGGGATTCTGATTTAGTAATGCAAGGGAAGGGGGTCTTAAAATTTGCATTTTTTTTAAGTTTATCTTTTTTTTTTAGTAATTTCTACACCCAACATGGGGCTGGAACTCAGGACCCCAGGAGGCGCTTGCTCTTATGACTCAGTCAGCCAACGCGCTCGCTGGACGTTTGCATTTTTTAAAAACTGCCAAGGTGACTCTGAAGCAGGTTGCTTGCAGGGCATATATTCAGCTAGAGAAGGACCCCTTCTAGCTCTGGCTCAGTGGAGGCAGAGAATGAGCCGATGGAGCAAGGAGCAGGGGCTGAGCGCGGTTCAGTTCCCTGAGAAATTCTTGTTTGTCCTTGAAGATGATAATGCAGATAACATTTAAAGACCGAATCTTAGGCGTTTTCAGGCTTAGGACTAGTTCACCTAAGAATGAAGAAAAGGGTGCTGATGGCCTCAGGGGTGGAAGGGGGCGGGCGCTTCTCTGAGAGGGAGGCCGGTCTGGGTTGCTGGGTGAGTGATTGGGGTGGGGAAGGAAGAGAGAGGGGGTTGACTGAGGGGAGGGTGAGATGAGACAGCACCTTGGTTGGTAAGAGGGCGCAAGGCTTTTGGATGAAGCTTCCTAACTGGTTACCACAATGTTGGCTTCTTCAGCCTTCTTAGTGTCTGGACAAGCTCTAAAGTGGCCTGAGTGACCTAGAGCTGGTCGCCTCTGATTTTTTCTGAGCTTCTAAATCTCCAGCTGTTTACACCAGAAGACTATACAAATATTATCATTGTCTATGTGTGTCCTGTCCTGTCGAGAAGAAGGTTGGGAAGCTTTTGCAGGCTGCCAGAGAATATGTTGGAGCAGAGGAATAACCGGTGTCTTTGAAACCCAGTTATTTGGTAAATTCAACTAATGTGGGCAGCTACATCTGGCGGATTTAGCCCTGTTTTCTGTCTTTCTTGGATTTCCATGTTTTAACTTGAATCTTCCTGAAATTGGTCCAGACTGACCTTCAATCTCTTACGTGGCTATAGAGTGAACATGCCTGAATGGAGTTGCCAGGGCTCAAGGTCAAGGAAGATATTATCAAGTGGCGATTGGTAATGCAGAGAGATGGAGAGGCGGGGAGGGTGAATGGCAGTCTGCCTCGGGGTAGAAATAGTGAATGAATTTGTGCCTTGTGCAGAGGGAGGAGCATTTTTCATTAGCTGTCTCCAAAGCAAGGCAGAAGGAAGGGGCAGTGTCTTGGATTATTTAAGGGAAAGGATTTTTTTTTTTTTAACTTGAATCAACTGACTGCTTGAA